TAGCGTTAAGACACACACACACTAGTGGTTACTCACAGGAGGTGAGAAGGACAGGGGCGGTCGCAGACTTGGCGTATGGGGGGGGGGGCAACTTGGCAAAGAGGCCCCTGCACTGACCCGGGGGCCCGGTGCTAGCTTAAAGGGGCCCACGGCCGTAGTGCATGGGTGCAGAAATCTAGCCATGGCCGGTGAATCGGGGGGGGGGGGGGGGTAGGGAGCGGCACCCGAGCGGAGGCTCATTGCCAGCTTTGAACCGGCTAACTTAGCCATTTTCGAAGATATCGTGCTAAAACTTTTGACAGTGGGTCATCGGTATGTGTTCAATCACATGTGTTCCGTTTCTTATTTTTACTTGAGCACAAATGTAAGTTTTGAAGACCATCACAGTAGCAAATGCATCGAAAGATGGATAGTAGTGAGTGGGCAAAATATCCTGAGGGCTGTTCACGGGCACCGCACACTGCTGCGTGCGGTGGGTGCGGTGGGTCCAGCAGGCGTGGGGGTAGGGGATGGGTAGGCGGTTCTGACGTCACGGCTGTGTGCGGTGGACGGTTTCCTGTGGCCGGTCCCGACCGGGTGTGCGGTCCGACCGCACACAGGGCCCGTGAACAACCCTCTGAATTTGTCGTGCTGCATCGAAAGTAGTGTTGATGAGAAAAGGGGTTTTTATTCCAGATTATTTTGGGTGCAGAATACATTGTCTGCACCCACTGGAGAATTATTGTTGGTGCAACTGCATCCACTGCACCCATGGTTCCTACACTTATAGGCCCATGGATAACGCTTCGGCGATACCTATCGCATAGAGGCTGCAATGTGGCCCTTAGAGTACAGTGTCAGACCCCCCCAGAGGCCGGCGTTGGAGCCAAGGGTCAGCGAAGGGCCTCAAAGGCCCCAGATGGGGCCCCAGAGGCTAATGTGGGCCCTCAGAGGCAATTGCGTGATGCCCTAAGGTAAGTATTGGGCCCCCATAGAACATAATAGGGCCATCAGTGGCCGGTGTAGAGACCTCATAGGTAAGCTGGGGGCATATAGAGGCAAGTTTGGGGCACCTAAGAGGCTAGTGTTGGGCCTCAGATGTCGGTGTGAGGCCCTTAAAGGTAGTGTGCCAGCTTTCTTGGACCATATGGAGTTAATGACCCGGATAAGGAGAACCGGATTTTTAGAACTTATCCATACCTTCAAAACTTATGGAAACGTCTTAAATTCTTCAAATTTTGAGTACCCCAGTGCGAAATTCGCCCCGACGGGTTGTCGGTCGTACCCCAACCACATTTCACACCCCTATGAACAATAAATGCACACACTAAAATCGCTATTACCGATAGGCTCATCCAATCAAGTTTCGATAAACCCGTTCATCATCATCTCCTGCGGTTTCGAACACGCCTGTTAGGTGGCTTCTGATGCTCGTCGAGGTCGGAATTTCCAAATACGCGTGGTGCGTCGGGCCGCGCGCTCTGACTTCGGCCAAGAAAAATGCGTCAGCTGATCATTGTCATTTCTGCCACTTGCGTGTGGTGTAATGGGGTCATAACTTAAGAGACGGCTGTTTCATATCAATTATTTTACATAAAATCATATTTCAAACCACAAATTAATGTTCGACAGCCAAATTTAAGAAACAATACCAATACAGGCTTACAGTTTAAGGCTCGACATTGTGTTGTCTACGATTAGACAGCTGATAACTCATTCCCGTACGTCGTATGGTCGTAACACTATAATGACCTTTGCTTATTGTCACAAGTGCGCCGCATTCGCGATTGTTGCCCGACGCCTGTTTGCAGGTGAGCCCACTACAGTTGTTATACATATCTAAAAACCGATAAACTTTTAGGCGAAAAAGGCACTATTCCAGGCCCATTTTTGATTTTTTTTGCGATATTAGGTAAAAACAGAAGCTTCTTATCCTAGGAAAAATAAAACGGGAAATCTTTCAAAGGTGGCACACTACCTTTAAAGACCGGTATGGGTCCTCAGAAGCCGGCATCGATCCTTCAGGAGCCAGTACGGGGCCCTCAGAGGCACATCAGGGTCAGCTTGGGTCCCAGAGACAGAAATGGGACCATCAGAGGACGGTGTGGAACCTTTAAGAGGCCGGTTTGGGCCCTTAGAGGCCAGTTTAGGGCCCTCAGAGACCAGTACAGGGCCTGCAAAGGGCAGTTTGAGACCATCAGAGACCGACTTGGGCACTCAGATGCTAATGAGTAATGTTGGTCATTACAGGCCAGCATGGGACCCTCAGAGGTTAGCGTGGGGCCCTAAAAGACCGGCATGGGTCGGCGTTGGACCCCAGAGGCTAGCCTCAAAGGCCAAAGATGGGCCCTCAAAGGTGATGCGGGCCCTAAGAGGCCGGCATCGGGTGTTCAGAATCCAGTGCGGGGCCCTCAGAGGCTAATGTGCGCCCTTGCAGCCCAGCATGAGGCCCTCAGAGGTCAGAATGGGGCCCTGAAAGACTGGCATGGGCCGGCGTTGGACCCCAGAGGCTAACAGAGGGCCCTCAAAGGCCAAGATGGGCTTTCAGGGCCCTTAGAGGCCGGCATCGGGTCTTCAAAATCCAGTGCGGGGCCCATAGAGGCTAATATGCATACGATATGTCCCCCACGTCCATTCGCAACCCTGCCGCGCCTCCGGTCAGTTACCGGGGTTACATGAGCAAGTAAATGCGTGTCAGGAACGGATTTTCCTATTCGCTCACCATTGTAGTCCGTTTGTAATGCGTATTAACTCTGCTCATGTAACCCCGAGCAGTGACACCACTAAAGCCGTCATGGCGGAGCGCCGGGCTGCACTTCGTGACGGTGACCGTGAGCTCTACAAACAGCTGAACCGACAGGTGCGCAGCAGCATACTGAGGGACAGCAGGAGCGCGATCCGTGACATCCGTGACGTCACGATCCGTGACGGATCCGTGACGGTAGAGCTCACGGTCACCGTCACGAAGTTAGCCTCCGCACCGCCGGCCGCCGCCTGTCTCGCGCGCTGGTCAACCCGCTAGGCACGTACCAGGGATCCGCCCTCGGGCCTCTGTTGTATAGCATTTACAGTAATGACAGTAATGACAAAGTGACGGTGGACCCATCAAGCCTGACCGAGGAAGAGCCTGCTATAATTTGAAAGTCAGCGAACCAATTGACCTGAGGAATGGACGAGAATGTCAATTGCTCCGGTGGATCAAATTTAGCAGGCCCTTCCTCAGTCAGGCTCGATGGATCCACCGTCACTTTGCGCGGTACTTTTAAGACAGACTATACGTCGAGGATGCCAATTCCAACATCATTCAGTACGCTGATGATACACAGGTTTTAGTCACAGGTCCAAAGCATACGATGCCGCTCAACATTTCGAATATGGAGCGCAGTTTAGCTGCTCTTTCATGGTGGTTTCGAAAGAACGCCACGAAGCTCAAGGCCAGCAAAACTCAACTTATTGTTTTCGGCTCTCGTCCTAACCTTAGACTCCTGCCGCCGGTAACGGTAACAATTGACGACACTTTGATCAGAGAGAGCCCAACAGCCAAGAACTTGGGCGTCATTTTCGACCGACATCTGTCATTTGATAGCCATATTGATCATGTGGTGCGAAAGTGTTCAGGTATTCTGCTGTCGCTGTGCCATGCCAAACATGGACTACCAGCTGAGGTGTTACCTCGACTCATAGACGGTCTCGTCATGTCCTCTATTCGCTACTGTGTATCGGTGTACGGGGCAACCAGCGGTCAGCTTGTCCAGAGAATTCAAAAGTGCATAAACTTTTGTGCCAGAGTCCTATCGGGCAAGCGCAAATATGACCATATCAGCGACACGCTGAGGTCTCTGGGCTGGCTGTCTGCTGGTCAACTCCATCAGTATTACACTCTGACGGCCTTGCGCAGGCTGTCTGACATGTCCGAACCCGAGGAGCTAGCTGCATTGTTTGTCAGAAACAGCGAGGTGCACGAGGGCCAGAAACCAGCTCCATCTGCCACGCATCCGGAACGAGTACGGGCGGAGGCGCTTTGCCTACAGGGCAGCTTCCCTCATGAACTCTCTTCCGTCCCATGTTTGTGATTGTCGCGGCAGTAGAAAGCAGTTTGGGGCTGCCCTCAAACGCCACATGCTCTCCAATACCTGACTGTCCGATTTTTACACTGATGGTGTTGTGTTTGTGTGTTTGTGTGTGTGAAGTGTGTATGACAACCGTGCCAGCATTCTCAATTTAGTCGTCCCCTGTGTTCTATTCTTGTATGACGAAAACATGTAATAGCCTCTTTATAGAGGATATGTTTGATATGTTAAATAAATAAATAAATAAATAGCGGCGGAACACCCTCAATTAAGGGGGGAGGGGGCACTGCTCGCTTTTGGTCCCATTCTTTCCATGCAACGCCCATAGGGCTAACGTTAAAATGCCAAAATCAAAGGGGTGCACGGTGCCCCGGTGCCCTCCCCGTTCCGCCGCCTATGCTAATATGTGTCCTTACAAGCCAGCATAGGACCCTCAGAGGTCAGTGTGGGGCCCTAAAAGACTGGCATGGGCTGGCGTTGGACCCCAGAGGCCAGCGGAGGGCCCTTAAAGGCCAAGATGGGCCCTCAGAGGCCGATTCGGCCCTAGCTTTCAGGCTGGTCAGAGGGCCCTGATTGTTCTGACGTCATTTTTTTTTTTAGATTCCCGTGAATTTCGTTCGCCTCCGACGTGATTTTGGCCAACGTGGGCCTGGGGCCTCCTGAAAACCCCAAGGGAGGAGTGGGCGCCCCTTCCGCCCCCCCCCCGTTGACTACGTCCCTGAATATGTAAAACATTTCAATAAATAAATTGTGTGCCCTTTCACACCCTAATTGTGGGTTGATGACCATTTCTTGTAATAATATAGGTGTCCCCAACACCCCACATTGGGGTGCTAAGGGACAGTGATAAAAAAATAATAAAAAGACCCTGGCTACTGAGAAGCGGCTGTGTCCTGTACTGACTGTCCTGCCCTGTACTGATGGGTCCCGTGGCGCCGCTCTTTCCGACAGGTGGTGGAGCGTATCCCTCTGGAAAAACTCAGCCGAAAGGCCTGCAACGCGCTGCTCACCGAGCGCGGCTTCTTCCGGCGGCAGAAGCACGACGAGCCGGTGCCGGAGCGCTACCAGCACGGCCCGTACGGGGCCGCCAGCCACCAGGAGCTGTAGGCGGCGGCGGCGGCGGCGGCGGCGGCGGCGGCGGCGGCGGCGGCGGCGGCGCTGGCAGCGCCCGATGACGCGCCGCTCCGAAGGGCCTCCGGGCTTGGGGCGGCGCCGATGTAGCGTGGCCAGCGCCCCCTCCAGGCCTGCAACCGCATGCCTCACCGCACCAATTTGAGTTTAACGAAATTGGAGGGCTGAGGTCATATTTTCTTCATAATGATTATCTGTTGGTGAGTCGATGTATTTGGTATCAAATTTGGTGACAGGATCACGATATTTTGGATTTGTAGTTCTGGAAGTACACATTTTTACAGCGCATTCAGGCGCCAGTGCACCCGTTCCATTAATATAGCTCTTTTTTCCAAAGCGGTTTGCTCCAAGTTAATGACCGAAGCTGTAGCGTGTTACGATAGCCTCAGAAGGCGGCCCAAAAAATGTCAGCCTATCCCTTAAACCCTCGCCGGCCGAAAGGGTGCGGCGGGTGCCGCCCCCCCATATTTCTTTTTCGCGATAGCTCCGAACGCGCTGGCGATAGAGAGCTGAAACTCCGCATACCTGATGTTTGATTCAAGCCGGATCTTTTGACGCCAAAAACCAGTTCGTATTTTTTATTGCGCTCGGCCTGCACGCTGGTTGAAGATGAAGTGGGCGATCGCCAACAGAATGACAGCCTGTTTCAGATCGTCTGTGTCACCCACCACCACGAAGACACACACTCCACGAAGATGTTGTAAGACATGCCGTCCTGAGCGATGTGGGGGCGTTTGTTGGACTCCTCCGGCAGAATCTCTTCAAACTCCCGAGGATGCGCAGCAGGGACTCCAGTGCACTCTCTGAAAAAGTGTTGCAGTACAGCGGTCATTCTCGAGAAAAAGTATGGTTTCCTGTACCGAGGTTCGTAAACTAGACTTCGTAAGCAAGTTTTCATATGCAAAGGCTTATACCAGATAAGCTTTGTTAACCCTCGCCCATATAGGGGAGGGGTTAACAAAGCCCTTATAATCCTCGGTTTTTCGCAAATGACTCGCGTAAAAAGCGGCCGATCGCGACGAAACTTTCAGTACCCTCGAGTCAGTAAATTTTACACATACCCTAAGCCTTGGTTTCAAGCAGTTTCAAGCTATCAAACATATGATATAATGTATTGTATTGTATTGTATTGTATTGTATTTATACTGGAAACTCTCCACAGGTGGCTATTACGAGCCCAGTTAACATGGCGATGCATTGACAGCACAACATACATTTGCAAACACACATACATGTAATGAAAGTAACAGAGTTGAAAACAAGCAGATAAGGAGGGTATTTGTCACTGTTCCAGCCTGGTCATGAGCTGGCGACGTGACATGGAAAGTGTAGTCACACGCGAAAGTTTATTCCATGACACGGCGGCTCGGTAAGGAAAAAGTCGCCGCGCGGTCGTCAGCTGGAGGCGAGGGGGCGCGAGTACCGCAGCGCCGGCGGCGGTGGCTCGCGTTCGACGCGAACACACTGTTTGGCGAGGGCGCGCCATGGCTTTGAGCGGCTGGGGGGCTGCGGGGTCATGTAGGGCGCGATAGATGTTTATCGCGTCGCGACGCATCACTAGCGTGTCGATATCGGGCCACCCAAGCGTCGCGAGGGCGGGGGATATATGGTCGCCTCGGCGTAAACCAGATACCAGTCGGGCGGCAAAATTTATGACCTTCTGCAGTCGGTTCAGGCGGGTGCGTGTCGCCCCACCCCATACTGACAAGCAATACTGAAGGTGAGGGAGAACGTGGGTCTGTACAAGAATTTTGAGGATGTCATTTGAGAGGTGAGATCGGATTTTGAAAAGAGATATGATTATTGCGTTGGTACGCCGGGCGACTGAGGATATGTGGCGCTCCCAGGTGAGGGTCTGATCGAATTCAACGCCCAGGATTTTTAGATGTTTTTGTGGCCGGATTTCTTCGTTATTTATCCGAATCGTGAAGGATGATGCTTTTTCAACTGCATTTACTGTGCCAATGATAATGAAAGAAGTTTTGCTTGCGTTCATTTTCAGACTGTTTCTACTAAACCATTGCTGAAGACATTCAACGTTATTTTCGGCTCGATACCTCAGCGCTTGGAGTTCGTCAGGATTGTTAGGTGCTGAGTCTAGGATTTGGGTATCATCTGCGTAGGATACTAGTCTACCATGGGGCAGGAAAGATGGTAGGTCGTTGATAAAGATGAGGAAGAGGATGGGACCGATTATAGAGCCTTGGGGGACTCCATGTGAGAGAGGAAGAGCCGCTGAGGATCCTCCACGGACAAGTTGGGAGCGACCGAACAGGTAGCTGCTGAACCAGCTGGATGATACACCGTACCACTCTAACTTGTCCAGCAGTATCGGGTGGTCGACGCTGTCGAAGGCCTTGCTCAAGTCGATCGATGTCACAAGGTGACCGACATCAATCTTTTCAGCTGTCCATCCGACAATGTCGAGGAGGGCATCTTCTGTAGAGTGTGATGGGCGATAAGCGTATTGGGAGGGTGAGAGGATGTGGTTTGTGATAAGGTAGGAACTGAGTTGGGAGCATACCACTTTTTCAAGGATCTTTGATAAGGCTGGAAGAATTGATATTGGGCGGTAGTTGCTTGGGTCGTTGAGATCTCCTGATTTGTGGATGGGAGTGACGACGGCGACCTTCCAGGCATCTGGAAAGGTACAGGTGGATATGGATGTGTTGACAAGGTGGAGAATATGGGGGACTATGACGGGGAGACAACTCCGGAGGGCGTGCAGGGGTATGCCGTCTAAACCTACTGCCCGTGACGCTCCGAGCCGAGATATAATGCGCGAAAGTTCTGGAAGGGTTACACAATGTGGGACGAAAGAGGTAGCACATACTCGATTTGGGCGAGGCTCGGCGCTGAGGCCGTGGTCGCGGCGAGCGGCGTGTGCGGCCTCCGCCACGCGAGCACCGACGCTGGCAAAGTGCTTGTTTAGAGAGTCTGCGGAGAGGCTGTTTTCCGCTGTTTTCGATTTGGAGCGGTGGCTTTTAGAGGAGAGGTCCGCGCCAAAGTCTTTCAATCTCGCCCAAAAGCGCCTTGCGTCTTGTCCTAACCATTCCGTGAGGTAGGAACGACGATGCTCGGTCAGCACAACTTTGGCTCTATTGCGCAAGCGACGGTACTCGTTTTTGTCCGCGTCAGAATGGGTTCGATTCCAAGCGCGACGCGCAGCATCTCGCTCGGACATAACAGTTCTTACTTCTTCATTTTTGAGCCAGGGACAGTATGGGCGCTTCACACGTTTAGTTGTAACAGGACAGTGTACACTTACTACGTTATTCCAGATATTCATAAAGCATGTCAGTTTCGTGTTTATATCGGGGGCGAGGTAAAACGAGTTCCAGTTTGCACACAAAATGTCGAGGGAGAAAGCATCCCAATCTACTGTGTTCCATGCACGTGTCTGAAAAGTCACAGGAGCTCTCCGGGCTCGTCTGGCGGTTGTACGAATGATAACAGGAAAATGATCAGTTAACCCGCGCCCTGCTGGGGGGGGGGTGTTTGAACACCCCTTGTGGTTTTTCGCGAATATCTCAAAAACGGCGGCGCGAAGCGCCGCCGTTTTTTGTACACCTTATCATACATCAATTCTACACATGTTGTGAAAATTTCAGACCAAGGTCATTCAAGGTCAGGTCACCAGGTCACTTGAAGTGACCTCACCTCATAAAAAGTTTCAATGTCTGTCATAGCTACACCAAATGACCGATCGCTTTGAAACTTTCAGCGATTGCTAAGAGCAATAGCATGTACAAAATGTATATCTCAGAATTTCGATATCGATGACCTAAGGTCAGGTCAATTTTGCGACCTCCCCATTATAAGTCAATGGGAGAAAATTGAAATGCGCCTCTTTTGGACGAAAGACATTATAAACACTCCCAAACACCGAATTACAAGTGGTTTAGGCACACAGAATATGAAAATGGTGTCCGTGACCCTTGTTTATGCCCTGAGGTCATCTTAGGTCACGAATGGTATCTAACAGTTTTTCGCAAATAACTTTTGATAGAGGCATGCTAGAGCGATGAAAACGCCTTAGATGTGTTCAGCTCGACGATACGGATCGACTGATATGCAACATGACCCTTTCCGGTCAGGTCATGACCTTGACCTGAGGTCAAATTTTCAAGTTGACCTTTCAAGGTCAACTTATATTTCATTCGATGCGTCTTGACGAGAGGAACACGATGCCGGTAAAAGAAAGCTCGTACAAGGCTTGGGTCAAAAGTTATTGCAGAAAAACTGTTTCCGAAAAAAATCGGCTATTTTTGCAGTTTTTGCCCCCTGCAGGCAAAACCGTTGACGTTAGGTCAAATCTGAGAGAATTACTCAGAAAGGGCGTTAATAGGGCTATCGAATGCGCTTTTCCGCGGCGCTGTAGCTCTATTAGTTCCCGAGTTATGCGTTGGCTTCTTAAAAATTTTCGACATTCGACCTGGAAATCGGCGAAATTTTGCCTTCAGTGACCCCTGGTGACCTGACCTATGACCTGACCAAAAAATTGACCGAAGTGATTTCGTCATTATTTTTGACGCTCTTTCGAACGCCGCCTTCCGCGTATCGCTACGTGGCCCAGGAGCCGAGTTACAAGGGGGGGGGGGTGTTCAAACACCCCCCCCCCCCCAGCAGGGCGTGGAAATCCAGGACCCCAGCCGGGCGCGGGTTAAAAGATGAGTATTAGTGATGTCAATTACAGAAAATCGGAATACCGATACCAAACCAAATACCAACCTAAACCATGGGGAAATACCGAAACCAAACCAACTTGGGAACATGAGAGAAATACCAACTTTTTACCGATTTCTTAGCCTCTTATACATTAGCGAGGGTTCATGATACCAACAAAATACCAAACACATTAGGATCCGAAATACCAAATACCAAGTTGGTATCGGTTTGGTATCGGTATACCAAAAAGTTAATATCCGATTGACATCTCTAATGAGTATGAACAGAGGCTCTGACATCGATGATAGACGAGTCAGATATGATCAAATCGAGCAATGCGGGCGATGGATGTGGATGTGTGATATCAGAAACATGTTGAGCAAGATTTAGATCATTCAACAACGCATTGAAAAGACGACATTCGGCAGATTCAGCATTCATAAGGTTCACATTAAAATCACCGAGGGCAAAAACACGATTGCCTAATGCAAGTGCGATCTCAAACTGATTACGAATGCAGTCTAATTGTTGTGCGTTCAAAGCACCTGGTGGTCGGTAGAAAGCACCCACAGTCACGGTCGCTCGGCGGGCGCCGCCCACGGACAGCCAGAGGGCTTCCACGCCGGAGCTGTTGTCGCTGTTGGTGTCGTGGAGGCGGGACGTGCGCA